ATTTGGACCATTTCTTTTTATTTTATTTTAAGTAAGCTATATTCTTCTCTCATCTATCTCATATTCTTTGTCTTTTTCTTGGTAGCACGCATGTATCTCATCCTCTCACTAGTCTATTTATAGTACGGGGGAACACCAACCAACCCCGATCTCTCCCCAGCCCACGGGGTAGGTTTGCACCACAGCTGTGATGCGAGAGCAAGGCTGTATCAGTCCCTCATCACGGTGACGAGGGGTGGGCAGGCATTGCCGATGGGGGAAATCGGCGGTTGCTAGCGCCGAGCAATGGGCAGTCACTGCACCTCCCCCTACCCTCCCCCAACCCCACATGGCGGTGTCTAATGGCCGATATCGTCGCTGCATAGCAGCCAACAACATCATCCAAGGTCCTGCCAATGCTGGCTTGGGGGGCCAACGGGTTATCTCTAGCTGTTAGAACACCGAGCTTGCCCAGGCACGTCCGTGAGGCCAATGGGGATTGAACCCACGACCTCCTGAATGCAACTTCTGTGCCTTACCACCTGAGCTGGACCCGCAGGCCAATTTGCACCATTTCTCGATTTATGCGTGTCATCCTTGCGCAGGGGCCATGATTCCCGAAGGACCAGTCGCCTTGTTTTCGGGCGTACTGCGGCTATCCGTTGTCCTATTTTTTCCGAACAGACTGCTGGAGTCTACATCACCGTGACTTTCACTAACTAAACCCGGTATGGTTGGTCGCCGGCGGGAAGGACCGGTCCGACGAAGAAATTGATTGGGAGAGGGAGGGAAAGATCAAGGGCACGGAGACGACAGTGGACGCGTTGCTGAGGGGCAGAGGCTGAGGGGCAGAGGCATTGCCGCGTGGCCCCGTGCCCCCCTATGCCCCCGTGCCCCGTCATCAATCAAGGCATCCCTTCGAACAGACTATTGGGGGGGAGGGGGAGGGGTGTTACTCTGGTGGGGGGCAGGGAAGGTAAGGAATGAGTGGTGTATGGCACGTGGCGATGATGACACGTGGCGATTGTGACACGTGGCGATTGTCGTGGGAAAGAGGAAGTGGATTTGAGGCAGTGGATGTGTTTGAAGCAAGAATGAGCACACGCCTGCGTGACACGTGTACAGTATAGTGATGGATTGGCGGATTAATGAATGGATTAGATACGTACAGAATTGCATATGCCCATACCATTTATAGATAGGATCCAACACACACACACACACACACACACACACTCAAACTCCGACCGAACAGTCTGGCACAGTCATGCGTTTTCTGTGCAGTTGTGTGTAGCGACTATGACATCAACACAGATATGAGTCGGTAAAAGCCGGGCGAAACAGTCTGTCACTGTCACCCTTTCTCTGGGGAGTAGTTCTTTGCGATTACCACACACACACACACACACACACACACACACGCGGAGAGAGAGAGAGAGAGAGAGAGAGAGAGAGAGAGAGAGAGAGAGAGAGAGAGGATGGAAGAGTCGGGGGGCCCGTCTGAAGGCGGGGGCCAACTGGAGATGATGGTAGCTGAAGAGGGTCATCAGTTCGATTTGGAAAGTTATGCGAGCAATTACAAGGGCAATACGAAGATCGCGCGTCTGAGATTCATTGCCGAGCGAACTACTTCCAGATCCCTTGAGTTGGAGGCCCTTCGAATGTCAATTGATGAAATCAAGAAAGGGGATAATACCAATCTTTACAAGGAAACGATTGAGAAGATCAATGGTAGACTTGGACCTGAGTACGAATTGAACACCGAATGGATAGAGACAGTGGAGCGCAAAGCTGTGACTAGGCAGCACAAGCTAGACGACGAGCTGGCAAATTACAAAGTACTTAACATCTCCCGCCTTTTTCCCTTCCATCAGTACATACGCTCCTGCCACCTCCCGCCTTTTCCCATCCATCAGAGTGCTCTCCCGCTTTTTCCCGCCGTTCACAACCTTCTCCCTACTTCTCCCATTCATCACTACGCTCTCTCTCTCCTTCTCCCATGCTTCAGTAAGCTCTCCCGCCTTTTCCTACCCATCAATCTCCCGCCTTTTTCCTATCTATAACGATCTCCCGCGTTTTCTCATACTTTGAATTACGAAGGACGCGATCCCGACGCGCCTTTCACCATCCATTCGTCATGATGTCCCGCCTTTAATGTTTGCCCTTTTTTTTTTTTTTTTTTTTTTTTTAACGATGTGGACCCTTTTTTTCTCGATTTATGCGTGTCATCCATAGGTGCGCAGGGGCGATGCTAATCGTTCTAATTATAAACGGTTGTGATGTCCCGAAGGACTCTTCTCTCCCGCTTTTATTTCCGCCCCCTGTTAAAGTGCCTTTCTCTCCTCTTGCTCTCCCTTACCCCTTGACCTGACAAATTCGAAAGTATGTCTCCCGACGCCTTTTGTCATCCATTACAATATCCCGCCTTTTCTCGCCTCTTCTTCCCTCCCCCCCCCCCCCCGCCTCTACCCTCCTCCTCCTCCATACCATCTTCCTTTTCCTTTCAAATTCCATGTGTCAT